CTGCCATATAATGAACAGAGGCCAAAGATAGGACAGTCCCCCGACTACAAAGATTTATCCACTTTAAAATATTGATAGCAGCAAAGTTGAGAAATCTTGTTCTATTCCATTCTCCCAAAGGTAATAATCAATCACTCTTCTAGCTCTTTCTCTGGGTATTTAACCTCCATATTTCTAAATTATTTTTAAAACTACAACTTTTAATTTTTTCTCTTTTTTTTTTGGTTTTATTTATTTATTTATTTATTTAGAGACAGAATCTCGTTCTGTCGCCTAGGCTGGAGTGCAGTGGAGCAATCTCGGCTCACTGCAACCTCCATTTCCTGGGTTCAAGTACTTCTCTGCTTCAGCCTCTCGAGTACCTGGGATTACAGGCACCTGCCACCACACCCAGCTAATTCTTGTATTTTTAGTAGAGACAGGGTTTCACCATCTTGGCCAGGCTGGTCTTGAACTCCTGACCTTGTGATCCACCCACCTCAGCCTCCCAAAGTGCTGGGATTACAGGTATGAGCCACCGTGCCCAGCCTTGTTTTATTTTAAAAGTAACCGTTTATCCTCAAATTTCTGCCAGGGATGAAATCTCCCAATATGTTGAAACACATCAAATAAATGATCATTTGCATTTGTTGTGTGCACATCCTCCATCCTCTTGCCTGCGCTCTAGGTCTGCTGTACAGATGTTGATCTGGGACAACTTTCACCATAACCTGGAGAATTTGTTTCTCTTCTTCCCCATGTTGGATTACCCATTTGCTGAATCCCATGTCTGCACTTTTGTGGTTTCTTCTTTCATTTTGCTGGGGCAGAAGCTTCGATGTTTTCACAGGAGACGTATTTCTTGACTCCTGGATTATCTGAAATTTTTCTTACTCTACAGTGTTAAATCAAGTTTAGACTAAAACTGCCTTCTTACATACTTTAAATTCAGCCTAAAGGTTTCTCCTTACATGGTGAACTATAGCCCAACTGGCAGTGTAAACAGACTGTCATCTACTCTTGTGCCAATCACTGAGTTTTGGCCAATTAAATGTGGCCAACTATTCGAACCATGTTCAAATAAGACAAACACCGAGCTGTAACCAGCCTGGCTGTTTCTGTAGCTCACTTTGTTTTCTGTAATTCACTTTCCTTTTTACTGTCTATGAATCCTCTGCCACCACGTGGCTGTGCTGGAGTCGTCTCTGAACCCACCCTGGCTCCGGAGGCTGCCCAATTTGTGGATTTTCTTTGCTCAATTAAACTCTTTTAAATTTTATTCCGCTGAAGTGTTTCTGTTACTATCACTTAAGATAGATAATTTGGCTATGTATAAAATTCTGAATTGGAAATGATTTCCTTTAGAATTTCAGAGGCTTTGCTTCATTGTCTTCTGACTTTCAATACTGTGAGGAGAACTCTGATGGCCTCATGTTTCCCAGTGCTTTATATGTCACTTTATTTCCTCTTTGGAAGATTTCTGGGATCTTTCTTTGATTCTCATTTGTTGTGCGGAGCACAGGGTGGCCCCATTCAATCTGGAAATTCATATTCTTCAGTCTGAATATACTTTTCCTCTTCTTTTTTTTTTTTTTTTTTTTTTTTTGAGATGGAGTCTCGCTCTGTCTCCCAGAGCAGGGGTGCGATCTCGGCTCACTCCAAGCTCCGCCTCCCGGGTTCACGCCATTCTCCTGCCTCAGCCTCCTGAGTAGCTGGGACTACAGGCGCCCGCCACCACACCCGGCTAATTTTTTATATTTTTAGTAAAGACGGAGTTTTACTGTGTTAGCCAGGATGGTTTCGATCTCCTGACCTCATGACCCGCCCGCCTCAGCCTCCCAAAGTGCTGGGATTACAGGCGTGAGCCACTGCGCCCGGCCTGCCTCTTCTTTCATTTATTAAATTAATTGTCTCTGATATCTTACTTTCCTCCTGGAACTATATTTTTCAGATCAAACGCTCTTGTTTTTGTATCATGAGCCCCTTCTCACAATGATATTCTTAGATGCACAAAATAAAATGCATAGGATTACAAAGACAAACACTTCTTTTGAGGTACAGTTGACAAAACATTAAGAAATAAATTTTTAAAAATAAAAATAAAAAAGAAATAAATTCATTATAGAGTTATATATGTTTTTAAATAACAAAACAATAGTAAGTTTAACAAACTACCATTTTAAAATAAAGTTGAATGCAAACTAATTTTAAGATATCTGTAACTGCAATATGATTGTAAAATATCTGTGATTTCTATTGGTGACAAAGTTGCAGTAAAGTTGTGCTTTGTTGCTTACGTATTTACTTACTGTTTTTTGTTTGTTTGTTTGTTTTTGTTTTTTAAGACGGAGTCTAATTCTGTCACCCAGGATGGAGTGCAATGGTGAGATCTCGGCTCACTGCAACCTCCCCCCGTCTCAGGTTCAAGCGATTCTCCTGCCTCAATCTCCCAAGTAGCTGGGATTACAGGCAAATATCACCGCGCCCAGCTTACTTATTCCTACTTATTTTTATTTATTGTTTAGAGACAAGGTCTTGCTCTGTCTCCCAGGCTGAAGTGCAGTGATGCCATTTTAGCTCACTGCAGCCTCGAACTCCTGGGCTCAAGTGACCCTTCCGCCTCAGGCTCCCAAGTACTGGGACTACAGGGACAGCACCACGCCTGACTAATGTTGTTACTTTTTGTAAAGATGAGGTCTTGCTATGTTGCCCAGGGTGGCCTTGAACTCCTGGGCTCAAGTGATCCTTCCACCTCAGCCTCCCAAAGTGTTGGTAGTATAAGCATGAGCCACTACACCTGGCTGCCTGGACATTTAAAAGAGGAAATGTTATGTATTTGTCAGGGGTTAGGGAAAATAAAGATGTATTATTTTACCATATGGGTTTATGAACGAACTCATTCCACAGACCTTTTAGGAGTCTGGGGACCCCAGGTTAAGAATGCCTGATTCAGATGTTAGATCTCTTAAATGGATCCTCTAATTTTGTTGTTTTTCTCCCTATTCTTGTCTTTGCCTTTTTTTTTTCTGATTTCCAATAAATAACTTTTATTTTATTCTCTAATAATTTGAAGTTTTTAAAATTATATTTTTAATTTCTAACAATTTTTTTTGTTGTTGTTTTCAAAATGTTCCTTATGTTTAGCATCCCTGACCTTGCTTCATATATGCAACATCCTTTCTTATCTTCTGAAGATAGGGATGAAAGTGAAGGATTTGTTTGTTTGTTTGTTTGCATTTTCTTCTACTCATTACATCATTATCTCTTTCATCATAATTACTTCCCACTATTTGGTTATTAGGGATCATGAGTTTAAAATGATTAATTGCAGAACTTTTACTGACCGTACCCATTATTTCTCCCACAATTTTATAATGCTGGCAGGTTTCTTAAAAACTGAGCTACAGTTTACATAAAGTACATAAACATTCAGCATAAAGTTCAATGAACTGTAAAAACCAAGGTATTGGCTGGGCACACCTGCAATCCCAGCAAGTTGGGAGGCCAAAGTGGGAGGATCACCCAAGTCCAAGAGTTTGAAACCAGCCTGGGCAACATAGCCAGACCCTGTCTCTACAAAAAATTTACAAATAATAATAATAATTAACCAGGTGAGGTAGTGCATGCCTGTATACTTGGGAGGCTGAGGCCTGACAGTCGCTTGAGCTCAGGAGGTCCAGGCTGCAGTAAGCTACGATCGTGCCACTGCACTCCATCGTAAATGAGAGCCTGTCTTCCAAAAAGAAAAAAAAAAAAAAAGGATATACAACATTTACATTACTCTACAGATTTCCTGTAATCCAGGATATATAACATTTACATTACTCCACAGACTTCCTGTAATCCATCCCAACAAATATTCCCCTTGTAAGTATAACCCCTGTGTTGACACCATGAATTTCTTTTGCCTGTTCTTAAACTTTATATAAATGAAATAATGGAGTATTGATGTGGACTTTTGGGTCTGGCTTTTTTCATTCAACATGTCTGCAAAATTTGTTCGTATTAATTCACCTATCAGTCTTTTGTGTACTTTTTGCTAAGTAATATTTTATTGTATGAATATATCACAAGTTATTTTTCCATTCACCTATTAATATACACCTATCTTGTTTCTGGGTTTTAACCACTATGAATAAAACTGCAATGAACCTTCTTATACATATTTGTAATTGTTTCTAGAGTTTTAATTCCACCTTTTTAAAACCTGAAAGATAATTTTTAAAACACTGATTTTCTGAACTATTTTATTGATGTCTGTCTACACAATTGCGTGTTGTGTCTCACACTGTTGCTTTGGGTTCACATTATTCTCTGCTGAGGTGTCTCCTTTAATAGGGAATGTTGGTGGCTGGTGCATTCCTGATGTCTTAGTTTTGTCCTTCTTCTTGAATAATGACTTGAAAAATGATTTATATTACCCTCAACACTGTGACGATACCACCTCATGGTCTTCTAGCTTCTGTTATTGCTGATGAGAAGCATGGGGCTGTTTAATTCTTATTCCTTTTTAGCTAATCTGACTGCTATTTCTCTGGTAGCTTCTAAGATTTCCTCTCTGGAATTTTTATTCGGCTGTTTCATTATGTTATTTCTAGGTGTGATTTTATTTTTATTTAACCTTCTGGCATGGGGAGAGCACTTTTGATCTAAGGACTTGTTTGTGATAATGGAACATTCTCAGCCATCATCTCCTCAAATATTGCTTCTTGGTTATTTCTTTTCACGATTCCCTTCATTATTCCTTTTATTGCCTGCAAAATTTCTATTAGGTATGTAAGTTCTTCATTTATTACTCTGTAGATCTTAAATATATATATTTTTTAAATAGTTTAATAATATTTTATTATTGCAATCATGTAGAATGAATTTATCTTTTGACTGTTGATTTTGTTGGATGCCTTTGTTAATTGTTTTCATATATTTTGGAATTTTGGCTTAATTTCAATGGAATTTTGGATAATTTATCTCTCTCTCTCTGTCTCTCTCTCTGTCTCTCATTTCCTCTCACTCCCCTTTCACAATTGACTTCACCACTGGCTCAGGTCTTGTATTGAGGACAAGGAAATACTGCCCCATAATGCTGTTGAGAATATTTAAGAACAGTCAGGAAAGCTTTGTAGCTTGGTTTTATTGTAGCAAGTGTGTGTGTGCTATTTATACTGGCCTATTTTTATGTTTTCATTTGTTTTTATATGTTTTTATGTTTTGTCATATTTCAGCAAAGAGGAAGACCTTAAGTCCTGAACTTCCAAGGCCAACTTGACTGGAAACCCTCCAGTCTTTAATCCATAGAAACCTGACTTCTGTCCCCACCATGCCTAGAAAACTACTTTTTAAAAGAACATTAGTGGTCACCACATTGGTAAAGTATTAATAAATAAACATGTTTTAGTTCTAATCACGCTTGCCTTTTGGCACGCTTCCTGACTATACTGCATCCCCCACAAATGCTCTGTTCTCTTGGCTCCCACAATAGCATACACTTTTTATTTTTAAAAGGTTGTAAAATACGCAAAACATAAAACTTATTATCATAACCATCTTTAAGTGCACAGACCAGTGGCATTTCATATATCCCCATTGCTGTGTGGCCATAACCCATCACCACCATCTGTCTCCAGAACTCTTTTTATCTTGCAAAACTCCATACCCATTAAACAACAATTCCCCATTGCCTGCTGCCCCTAACCTCTGGCAGCCACCATTCTACTTTCTGTTTCTTTTTTCCAAGACTGGGTCTCCCTCTGTTGCTCATGCTGAAGTGCAGTGGTACGATCACAGCTCACTGCAACCTCCAACAATCCTCCTGCCTCAGCTTCCTGAGTAGCTGAGACTACAGGCATGCACTACTACACCTGGCTAAGGTTTTTAGTTTTTGTTTTTGGCAGAGATGGGGTTTTACTATGTTGCCTAAGCTAGTCTTGAACTCTTGGCCTCAAGTGATTCTCGACCTTGGTCTCCCAAAGTGCTGGGATTACTGGCATGAGCCGCAACTGGCCTCTACTTTCTATGAGTTTGACTGTTCCAGATGCCTCCTGTGAGTGGACTCATACAGTATTTGTCCTTTTGTGACTGGCTTTTCACTTAGTGTAATGTCCTCAAGGCTTACCTTTGTGATAACACATCTTTCTGCTGACTTCTTTCCAGTCCCCTTTCTGACTTCTTTCTAGTCCCCTCTTTGTTCATCATGTCTTCATATTGGTCTTCCTCAGCGTTCCCTCCTCCCGGACCCTGTTCCGTCTTCATCATCCCTACCCCTGGGTAATTTTCACTCTCATGGTATCAACTACCATCTCCATGGAGGGGATGGGTCTGTGTTTCTAGCCCAGACCTCTCCCTTAGCTCCAAGCTTTGCATCTCCAATTGTCTGTGGGACACTTTTTCTTGGATAGTTTGTAGGCATGTCCAGATCAGCATGTCCCAAGTTCAATTCCTCATATCTTTCTTCCCCCATAAATAAACTGCTCATTCTCTAGGTTTCCTGTCTCATTAGTTGACACTACCATCTACCCCAACCCAATCTACAAATAGAGATGTCATCTCTGACTCCTTTCTGCCTCCCTTCGCATTCCCTCCAGAATGCCAGTCAATTCCTATTTCATAAACATCCCTGTATCTAACCCATTCTCTCCAAATCTACTGCATATAACCTACAACAGACCACCACTTTTCTAGCCTGAGAAACAGCCTTCCACCTGGCTTCTGTGCCTCCAGATCTTATGCCTTCCTAATTTGTTCTCCAAACTGATACTTCTCAAGTGCCAATCTGATCATTATTTTCTGCTTAAAACCTTCAGTGGCTTCCCATTGCCTTTGACAAAATAGCCAAACTTCTTGGTCTGGCTCCTCTCGGCCAATCACGAACCCATCTGCAGTTCATGTTCCAAAAATGAAACACCCTAGAACAATGACGTCCACCATTTCTTTCCGGGGTCAAGAGAAGAGCTTAGAAGACACATTCTAGGAGATGATGCCCTCATTCCTTTAGGGAGGCAGACAATCGGATGATAACTAATTAGCATACATGTACTGGTAAAGTCAACACGTGACCTGGTGAGCTGGCACCAAGATGAGCTGGTGAGCTGGCACCACGAGGCCTGTGGTGCCTTACACATGAACATGCAGCCTGACAGGAGCTGCAGTCTTAGGTATGACGTGAGAAGGATTGCCCCCTTCTGGCTGTGATTCTGATTGTCCCTGAGTTTTTCTGTTCCCTAGCATGATTAACTCACTGGGACATCTTTATTAGAGCTGGATCCATGGTTACAGTTTATAAAGCAATGAGAACAAATTTGAAATCTTAATAATGTCCATTCCAGGAAAAAATTAACCACTTTAAGAATTGGAGGGGGAGGGATGTAATTTTCTACTTCATTGCATGGGTTTGGAGTATAGCTGAGAGCTATTTGGTTTGTGGAAGTTATTTCAGGATGATTCGACGATGAGGCAGCCTGGCTGAGGCTCTGGAGAGCTGGTTTAAAGAGGAAAACAAAATGAAAAAAGAAAAATTATTTTTACATAACCTTTTTTAAAATGGGGATTTTAAAACAACAAAGTTTTGGGGTGTTTTTTTTTTAGTTTGTTTTAGTTTGCCTGGTTTTAGTTTACCTATTCCTTTGAGAAGCTGTAGAAAGACTTTTATCCTGGAGAGGCTCAAATGCAAAGCTAGATCAAATTTTCTATAATTTCGAGGTATCTGTGGAGTCTTTGGAGCGGTTTTATAAATTCGCAGGACTCATGAGCTTCAGAACCTCTGTCTGGGAGTTCAGTGAGAAATGAAAAGATGGAGTCTATTTGGGGAGGATCATAAACACTTTTTTCTTTCAAAGATAGGGTCTTGCTCTGTTGCCCAGGCTGGAGTGCAGTGGCATGATCATAATTCACTGTAGCCTCGACCTCCTCAGCTCCAGCAATTCTCCTGCCTCAACCTCCCACGCAGTAAGGATTACAGGCGTGTACCACCATGCCTAGCTAATTATTTTTAATTTTTTTGTAGAGATAGGGTCTCACTGTGTTGCCCAGGCTGGTCTCAAACTCCTGGGCTCAAGTGGTCCTCCTGCCTCGGCCTCCCAAGCTGCTGGGATTACAGGCATGAGCCACTGTGCCTGGCCCAAAAACACTTTTTAAGAGTAAAGCTAAGCCAAACAACCATGAAAGGACACAAGTATGAACTGCTAAGTGTAGGGATTGGAGCCAAGAGGACAACAGAGGCTGTCGCAGAGTGTCACAAAGATGTTTGTAGATTATCTCCCAAATGGGAGGCTGATTATATTTAAATTGCAAAGTTTTTGTTCTTTTTGGTTAAAAAGCCTTCATGTCTTGAATTTAGTTACCAGCTCAAAAAGGTAGGATGACCTGGGGTGGGAAATGAAACATTGAGAAGTCTGGCCGGGCACGGTGGCTCATGCCTGCAATCCCAATGCTTTGGGAGGCCAATGTGGGCAGATCGCCTGAGCTCAGGAGTTCAAGACCATCCTGGCAAACATGGAAAAGCCCCATCTGTACTAAAAACACAAACATTAGCCAGGCGTGGTGGTACATGCCTGTAGTCCCAGCTACTCAGAAGGCTGAGGCAGGAGAATCGCTTGAATCCAGGAGGTGGAGGTTGCAGTGAGCTGAGATAACGCCACTGTACCCAAGCCCAGGAGACAGAGCAAGACTGTCTCAAAAAACAAAAAGAAGAAAGAAAGAAAGAAAGAAAGAAAGAAAGAAAGAAAGAAAGAAAGAAAGAAAGAAAGAAAGAAAGAAAGAAAGGAAGGAAGGAAGGAAGGAAGGAAGGAAGGAAGGAAGGAAGGAAGGAAGGAAGGAAGGAAGGAAGGGGAAAGAGAGAGAGAGAGAAAGAGAAAGAAAGAAAGAGAAAGAAAGAAAGAAAGAAAGAAAGAAAGAAAGAAAGAAAGAAAGAAAGAAAGAAAGAAAGAAAGGAAGGAAGGAAGGAAGGGGAAAGAGAGAGAGAGAAAGAGAAAGAAAGAAAGAGAAAGAAAGAAAGAAAGAAAGAAAGAAAGAAAGAAAGAAAGAAAGAAAGAAAGAAAGAAAGAAAGAAAGACTGAGAAGTAAAATTCAACTGTTCTTGTAGGAAAAGTCCAACACTTCCATTTATTTATGGTTGTAATGAAGACAGGACCACTTAGGACCTCAATTAAGTAATGAAGTGATTACCATTGCCTGGGGCACTTATGCTGGACAGAAAGATGATGCCGCATTAAAGCACAATATGAGACAAAAAGAATTCTGGATAATGTGACCTTCAGGCTTGACATATTTTGACATGCTTACCCTACAAAATTATTTTTCATGAATATTGATAAAATATTCACATCTCCTTTGTGGAAAAAGTCACTGAGATGAGCTTTCATGTGTGTGGTGTTCTTTAGCTAGGGGCATCAGCACACTTTTAGAGTCTAAGGGTTTTTCTTAGCTTTCTTTTTTTTTTCCTTTGAGATGGAGTCTCACTCTGTCACCCAGGCTGGAGTGCAGTGGTGCAATCTCGGCTCACAGCAATCTCCGCCTCCTGGGTTCACACCGTTCTCCTGCCTCAGCCTCCCAAGTAGCTGGGACTACAGGCGCCTGCCACCACGCCTGGCTAATTTTTTGTATTTTTAGTAGTGATGGGGGTTCACCATGTTAGCCAGGATGGTCTCAATCTCCTGACCTCGTGATCTGCCTGCCTCGGCCTCCCAAAGTGCTGGGATTACAGGCGTGAACCACCACACCTGGCCTTTCTTATCTTTCTTGCATCACAATTTCTGCATTTGTAAAAGAGGAATTCTTAGAAGCTCAGGTCTGCTGGCAGCCTTGAAAAGTCACCTAATCAATCTTTAGGCAAGTTCCCCACAGAAGTAACTCTGACATCCTTGGCTGATGCACCCAATCTCAGTCAATCCACTGAGATTCTAGAACTGGAGATGCCCACTCTTAATATTGACTCAGGGTCTTCAAAAGATGTGCCAGTGCCCGTAAGCTCTGTCCGTGGGCATCACTCTGATATAACTGCTGCCTCACCTGCTGCTTGTCTTTTCTTTGTGACCCCAGACTGAACTGTGATATTGGCCCTTACACCTTACCTCCCTGAATACCAGCCCCTCTCCTTGTGTTATCTGGTGTCCTAACCAGGCCTTAACTATGAAGCTCTTCTTGCCCACCGGTATCCCTTCAGCCCTTGCCATCTCAGTGCCCACCAGCCTGGCTTCAAGTTGCCAGCCCCTGCCTCTTTGCCTCAGATGTCCTCTGGCTGTTGGAGCCTGTTGTGCTCCAGTCTACATGGAAGAAGGAATCAGTCACCCCAAGGAATCAATTAATCCCGGAGCACTGACGGGAGTGGTTGATAATTACCCCAGCTTCCTTGCCTTTCCCAGGGAAGCACTGTTAGGCACATGCTCTATACTGTTTTCCAGAGTTCCCCAG